ATAACTGATGCTGAAGCTGAAACTCCAATACTTGGGCCACCTGACTCAAAGAACTGATTCACTGGAAAAGACCCTGTTGCTGGGAATGATTGAAGACATGAGGAGAAGGGGACAACTGAGGATGAGATGGTCAGATGGCATCACCGACTCAATGGACATGAGTTTGAGCAAGCTCCAGGAGTTGGTGATGGACAGGGAAGCCTGGCATTCTGCAGTCCATGGGGTCACAAAGAGTCAGAGACAACTGAGTGACTGAACTGAACTGAATGTCTTTTTTATACTTCTCACTTTTTTAGTGGGAAAAAATTGAGGTGATTGTTTTGTATGTCAGATAAACATTTTATTGCATAGATGCCTGAATATATATTCATATGTGCATGCATTTTATCTCCTTTTTGAGTGATACAGAATTATAGTTTCAAAAATTAACACCGCCACCCTCCTCCCTTCAATATGAAGATTTTTTTTCTTTGCCTACTTGATAGCAATGCTTACCAGCTATTAGTACTAGGATCCAATGTTTCTGATGAAAATTATGGTGTCAATCTGATTATTATTTCTTAAAAGAAATTTGTTTTTCACCTTTTTCTTGGGAAACTTTTCAGTTCTTTTTTTATCCTTACTCTGAAATTTCATGAGGATATGATCCATTAATCTTGCCTACACTTTCCATCTGAAGATGTCTGGGTTTTCCCATAGCTCTAAGCCTACTTTTGCCTATCGGCTTCAGTTCTAGCCAGTACTTTAAGTTCAAGAAATAAAGTAGGCCAGCACATGTTGCCACAAAGAGAAGTTGTCAGAAATCTGCATTTTCCTGTGGTCAAGAGAGAGGTTTTAGATGGTGTAAATAAGAGGTGTCGGTGGGAAGATAAGGAACCATTTCAAAATCTGGCAGCACCAGGATATAGGGGATAAGTGTTTACCTGAGAGTCATGAAAATCAGGTTCTAGGCTTGTCCCTACTTAATAAAATCTGGAATGGAGTTCACTTTCTTTATCTACAAAATAGAAATGTGAAACCTTTATGACCTCAAGGATCCTCTCCAAGGGTTCCAAGATCTACTCAGTGGTTCTCCTCAAGGGAATTTCATCCTCACTAGCGAGAGTTTTGGGTCACTTTTGGCGTTTAGTATGCAGGGGCCAGGGATAACAAATATGTTTGAGTAAATGAGAAAAGCTTGCAAGTGAAAGAATTGTCCAGGAAAAAGTAAAAGCCAGTGATGTCCCTCTGGGAAATACCATGAGAAATAGGAACAACTATCCGTGAAGTTATTTCTTCTGCTTCCTGGCTTCTCCTATCCTAGCCCTTTCCTGCAGGAGTGGGATATAATGGAAGCACCCTCGTGGCTGATAGAGCAATCTAACTTTGGCTGCAGATGAAATGGGCTGCTTGTTTGTCTCCCTGATTCTGGAATTGAGCCACTCTATCTCTTTGACTTTTTAGGTCGGACAGATGTCTTTCTCTAATGATCAATAACTATGCCTCATTACAAGCTTGCATGTTTTTGTGTCATTTTTCTTATCCATCTGGTTATGTTCATCCTATTATACACACTTTCTTCAAACCAAGACCGTGGAGAACAAATGTCATTCCCCATGGCTGAAATGGAGAAGACTCTGTCTAAAAGGCCAACTCTTACTACACAGAACCCAGGGAATATTGATAATGGTTTAGATGTAGGAGGCCTCTCAGCATCACAAGGCCTGTCATGATCCCTGGGTCGGGAAGATCCCCTGGAGAAGGAAATGGCAACCCCACTCCAGTATTCTTGCCTAGAGAATCCCATGGACAGAGAAGATTGGTGGGCTATATAGTCCATGGGGTCGCAAAGAATCAGACACAACTGAGCGGCTTCACTTACTTTAACTGCCGTATTTTCCTACTGTTGAGTTTCATCTCTCAAAACCTTGATCAGTTCTGTTTCCTGTCTAAATGCTTCACTCTTCTTCCCTACTCTGTGTTTAGGTAACTTCCACTGGTCCTTCAACCCTCAGTTCAGGAGCCATCATCCGAGGAAGTGTCCCTTTCTGTTCCTAGACTTGTCTCTATTATAACCTTTCTCTAGGTGTGGTCTCTAGGTCCATATAGTCAAGGCTATGGTTTTTCCAGTAGTCACGTACTGTTGTGAGAGCTGGACCGTAAAGAAGGCAGAGCGCCAAAGAATTGATGCTTTCGAACTGTGAACTTGGACACCACCTCTGGGAGGTGGTGAGGGACGGGGTGCTTGCTGCAGTCCATGGGATCATAAAGAGTGAGACATGACTTGGTGACTGAACAACAACAAGGTGTGGTCTGAGAAGATGACCCCAGGAAGACCTCTTAAAAGTGCAGATTCCTGGCCTGTATCCCATTCTTGCTGAATCAGAACTCTGGGTGGGACCCAGAATCCACAGTTTTCATAAGCTACTTAGTGTGGTTTTGAGTATATTTCTCTTTTTAAAAAAATATTAACTCATAAACCATTTGAGGGGAGCTGTGGCATATTGTTTACCTTTGTATCCTTAGTATCCAAACAGCACCACACACATAGTAAGTGTTGAATACAATCACGCTAAAATGCAATTTAAAACACAGGTTTGAGTCCTGGCTCTACCATTTGCTAGATATGGGGTTGGGACAAGGTATCAAAAGCTTCTGACTCTAAATTTCTTAAGAAATAGAGATAATAATACCTACCTGTCAGTGCTTTGTGATGAACATGAGACACTTATCATTATCAGTCTCATAGATTTTTAGATTTGAAATTTCCAACATTAAGAGGCTAAGAGGAAACTCCTAGGAGTGGAGGGATTTCTATGAAATGACATTTAAAAACAATGTATGAATTGAAAGTTTTAACAAATAACCCAGAACTAAAAGGATTGACCTGCTTGGTTATCCCAGTTCTCTTGCACTGATTTGCTGGACTGGTGATTTTCTAGTTCAACATTTCTGGTATTCAGTCTTTCCAGACAGTTAAATGATGGTAAACAAGGTGTTTGTGTCTCTGCCTACTGAGCAGTTTGCCTATGTCTCCAATTCTCTTATTTCAGCAATGCATCCATCTGTCCATCCAGTCAGCCTCTGTTGAGCATGTACATGTTCAAAGTGCTATTAGTTATAATAGCTACCATTTTTTCTGAGCATCAGTGATGGAGTAGCTACCATGTTAAAATTTTTATTTACTTTCTCTCAATTTTCATAGCAAGATTATGATACAGTGCTGTTATTTATTCATTTTCTACATAAGAAGATCTTAAGCATACACTTACCCAAAAATCTTATGGAAAGAAATGATGGAACCAGGTTTTAAAATAAAATCTAGAGTAGGAAGGTAGGGTAACTGTTGTAATAACTGTTGTAATACCCTGCTTCCTCTCACTTCAGTGTCCTTAAATCATATGTACCTAGGAAGAAAAATAACAGGAAGAAACACCACAGTGTTTGCAGGAAAAAACATGCCAGTGACCAAAAACAAAAAACAAAAGAAACAAACAAAAAACAAAATAATTCTCACTTGATTACAAAAATCTCCTTTCTCATTATTCTTCAAGGAATTAACAAAGTCAATTTTTTGTTCCATTTGTGCAAGCTTATATCTGTTTTGACTTTGTGTTTCATATTTTGTTTAGTTTCAACTTTAGAGAATGGTAGAGACACTTCTTGTCTTTTCAGTTTTCAATTCTATAGCTTTTGAATGTCGTAGCTGTGTTTCTCTAAGCACTACCGAATGGCATGGCTCTGAAATATTAAGCCAGTTCCAATTTTCTCCCTAAGCGCAGTTATTACCCCCACTATTACGGTTGAAAATGGTTCCTTAGAATTTTCACCAGAAGTAGTGATTCTGTTCTTGATCAGATTGGTGCTTCACAGTCTAGGTAGTTTTTTGATGATTGTCTTAGTAATGCCTTGTTCAGTTTATTAAGCACCAAACGTTGTCAGTCATTGGGGATTTCTGAAATGTCACAGGGATGATTAACACCTTGTCTTCTGAATTCTGCATATCAAAATTGGCTTGAAAATGTGAAGCATTACTCAGGTGTGTGGCATTGCCGTTCTCTAATAGATTATTTAAAGTTTTTATCAATCATGACAGATTGAAAGGATGAGGTTATCTTGTAAATCTTTAGTGATGGAGGCAATAAATTAAAATACCATAGTGAGCAGCTTTCATACTGGCTTAAACAAATAATTAAATGGTTATAGGCAGAATGAACAAATCCACAGGTCATTATGACGTATACAGGAAAACCAATACATTGCATTCTAAAGCTTACTTTAAAAAAAAAATCAGATTTTCTACTAAAGTGGTTTTTAAGTATTTAAAGCTCCGTGGAATAAAATAAATTAATTTACAATCGTTATTTTTCAAGGGAATGGTAAGAAATGCTAGGTATTGATATATGCTGAGGAGGAAAAGAACTATAAGCAGTATTTATTGAACACTAATGAATGTTCAGCACAGTAACTTAATAGGGCATTAGTCATTTATCATCAAATTTCAAAAACTTATGGATTAGAGGGATGATTGTAGGTTAGAGGGAAAAATGCCTCATCCTTAAAGTTTTCTTACAAGAACTAGTCACAGTTGAACCATTCCTATAATATAAATCTATAATAAAATTTTGGTTTTTACTTTAATGTTTTCATGATGAACAACCATTAATATATATTTGATATTTATGGAGGCATAATCGCTACCACAGGATTATCTATTAATATTAGTGATTGTAAGATTAATGAGATTGTAGGATTTATCTAGTTCTTGTGTAAAAAATAGTCCAGTGACGTTGGCTATGAATACTCTTCTTGATTTCTGTTGTAGATTTTTTTAGCGTGTAAACAAATGTTTTTCCAAAATAACTCAGACTATGTTCTTCATCCCTATAAGTCAGAGGAAAGTCTGGCATGGCTAATTTTAAGGCTTTCTATCAAACTCAGTGCCATGAGTAGGACGATAGTGCTAACCAGCAGGACAGTTTACTTCCATGGATGATGCCATAAAGACATCTTCATGGTTTCAGAAGAAATCATCTCTAGTTCATAAATGAGGGAACATATTACAACATGCAGGGGGTAGTTGAGGCTTCCTTGGTAGCTCAGTTGGTAAAGAATCTGCCTACAGTGCAGGAGACTCGGGTTCAATCCCTAGGTTGGGAAGATCCCCTGGAAAAGGGAATGGCAACTGGCTCCAGTATTCTTGCCTGGAGAATTCCATGGACAGAGGCGCCTGGAAGGCTACAGTTCATGGGGTCTGAAGAGTTGGACTTGACTGAGCAACTAACACTTTCACTCAGAAGGTGGAAGAAAATAAACAGATTTATTAATGAATTAATTGTGATAAATATCAGTTTCCAGAGGTAAACTGATTTTGTACATATATAAGTTTTTCATATGTTTTTCATATATATGATAGTCTAATGGAATATTTTATATGTTATTTCCACATTATACCTTTAAAAATATTTCTGTGGAGAAAAACTTTTATGTTTGAATAAAAATCTGCTTTACTAAGAATTTGCAGTGAGTTTATGTTATGTAATTATCTTTGTTGCTAGGCAGCCCCGATAGCACTTTTGATGTGTAATTTGCTTGAAACTGTTAAAAGGGCTCTGCTGAAGTTTTGAAACCAACTGAATTAGCCGCAGAGAGCCTTAGGTGTTGCTATTTTAATGAACTGAAGGTTTGCGTTTGGGATTAAGTTTAGTGAAACCAAAATAATTTGGCACTTTGGAAACTGAAATCTGTTGAACAAAGTTGAGAGGAATTTAGCATTCACTCTTATCTCTTGGGGCATCCTAACCTTAGCCCACTAGTGCCTCCTCCATATCTTAATTCAGAAATATTTTTTCTTAAAAGTTCATGCTGTACAACTTCTGCTTGGAAGTGTTTCCTCTGTTTAAATCTGCTCTGTCCTTGCTTTCTTCACCCCATACAGTCAAATAGTGGACATTTTGATGAGGCAGGTCAGGGGGCCTCAGGTTTTCCCCCAGCATGTCTGGCTGGCTCCCATCTTACTGGTTGGAGGGCCATCCCAATGTCTTGTACAGTTTTCACCTCTGTGACCAAGCCTTTAATCTGATGCTTGATTTAGACTTTTAAAATTCTGACTTTGCTAGAAAGTTATCTTGGTCTCCTGTAAGTTGTTGTTTTGAGGGCTCAGACCCACCTCTTTCACCCGTGGACTCACCTCCCAGAATCCTGACCCAGGTGTGATGGCCAGAGTTTGTATATTCCAGTGGTAAAATTAGAGAACTTCTCTCTGCCTTATTCTAGAATGGGATTTCCAGATAACCCTTGACCTTGGGTGATTTAAAACCCCTGCTAAGTACAAATTCTAATCTGAATGGCACTTGGAAGACTGCTCAATAAATCAAAAGACACTGTTTCCTCCATTAGTTTCTTCTTGAGTTTATTTATTATTATTATTTTTTCTTACCAACAGTTGCAAGAATTACAGGCTACCTGCTTGCTGCTGGTCTGGGATGTGGCTGCTTAAAGAGTGAAATCTCATGACATGCAGTGGTTATACCCAGGTGAAGCGTTTGAATATATGCTTAGTTAAGGATGTGAATATATTATTTCTTTAAAAGTTACTTTATTATAGTTCTGAGTTTTCTTGTGAAAGGGAAAATTAAAAAGCTAAATATGATCCAGACCTTTAAAAAAATACAGCTTGAGTAATTTCCCCATGATTACCATAATTCTGATGGTAATAGTTTTATAGAAATTTTTCATTTTGATTTTGTTATTGTGTATTCTATGTCACAAATAATTAGATAAAAAACAGTAATCTACTAAATGATTTGTTTCTGGCTGCATGTGACTTAGAACAGTGTTTGATTTGTGGAGTTAATGAATGTCAGAGTATTTTAATTTGAACAAATCAAGGCAGATTATTCAGATTTGGAGATGAAACTCATGCAATGCTTGATACTCCAGTGATTCATAATAGTAAGTTAAAGCTTTTTTTCCAAGAGTGTAAAATTTTATTTCTTCTAGTGTAAAATTTTCTAGTATGATGATATCTTAGACTACAAGCCATTAGTATCTCAGTTAAAATTCATTTATCAGCTTTTTTCCAACATAAGAGTTGTCTGAGATGGAATAGTATATACAACTGGAAAATTTTGAAAGGAGCACACATGGACTTACTTACAAAATAGAAACAAACTCACGGACTTAGAGAATGATTTAATTGTTACCAGAGGGGAAAGGTGACTGGGGAAGAGATCATTAGGGAAATTAGGATTGGCATGTAGACATTGCTGTATTTAAAACAGATAACCAACAAAGAGCCACTGTAAAAAAAAAAATGGGGGAAAAGTTTACCAGTAGCCCCACATTTTATACCTATCCTTACCGTCTTGTTTCTTTTTATGTACTGAAAGTAGATCTTTTTTTCATATTTGGGGTTTCCTATAACATCTTTTTTCTTCTGTAAAATATTGAAAATCCTTTAATGCCAACAGTCAAAAATGGACATGACTCATGGTTTTGGTTTCATGTAGACAATAATGAACTTTCCAATTTGGGCAAGTTTTGGCTTTCTGTTTTTAGCAATTAGCATTGTGTTATAATTTTTTTATTTAGCTATCTGTTTCCCTATTATACTGTGTATTTTCTTATTAGCCCGTGGTTGGTAGGAAACCTGTTACATCTAGCATAGCACTTAGTCCCATAGTATTGATAGATGTCTAGCAAACATTTTTCCAAATGAATTTATTTAAATGCCAGGCAATATTGAGTCAAAGCAATTCCACTATTGAGCTTATTTTCCATTGAAAATATCCTCAGTGGCAAGCAAATACACTGACCTCTAAAATATTCTTATCCAAAATATCTGCCTACAGCAAATCAGCATCATCTTTAAGTTGGTGGCTTAGTTGTACTTTAAGGAAACAGCTTTATGATATCATATAAATACAGGCAGAACTTGATTGTCTAGCCTTTCAAAGTGTGATGGATTGCCTCTTTCCTTAAGAGGTGAATAAATCATCACAACCTCATAAATCTTGGTAATCAGTTTTCCTCCTAGTTTAAAGATTTTCATGAATAGCTCACAGGGGGTCCATTAAACAAGGGTGGTAGAAGAGAATTAGGAAAAAAAAAAGAAAAGGAAAGCTAAAATGAAAAATGTAAAGGGTGTGTGTAAGCCATTGTATACCTCGTTGACATGGATGTAACATGGTTTATGTGCTATCTTAGTCATGTGGAATAAAACTAGGCTCCCAGAAGGAAAGACTTCTATTGGTGAGTAGCAAGTAGAATGCTTGTTACCAGGAAAGAATGCTTCCTCCATTGCAGTGCTCTGGGTGGGTGACTTTGGGGAGTTTTTATCTTCATCACTGGGAGGAGCAACTACAGGGAAATTGGAACCTAAAATTTACCTGATGGATAAATCACCCAAGGCCCAAAGCATATTTTCTTTTTGTTGTTGTTGTTCTTAAATTTATTTATTTATTTATTTTTGGCTGTGTTGGGTCTTCATTGTTGTGTGTAGGTTGTCTCTAGTTGGCAGCAAATAGGAGCTACTCTTTTGCTCTGCATCATGTGGGACCTTCACAGATCAAGGATTGAACCCATGTCCCATGTACTGGCAGGTGGATTCTTTAACCACTGGACCACCAGGGAAGTCCCTTCAAAGCCTGTCTTCTATGTTAACACTTGCCTTTGGTGTCATATGGACTTGGGTATAGAAATGTATGCCATGTGATGTCATGCAATTTGTATGCAAAGAAAGATTTTGGGTTGTTTTTGTTTTGTTTTGGTGTCCTTTTGTATCTGTGTGCTGGCTGTTGCAAAGCTTATTCCTCAGATGTGAGGAAGAATAGAAGGTATAAGGTGCATTTTCTCTAATGATATTCCTCATCCATTTTTCCCATTTGATGTAGCACCCGAGTCCATTCAACACTAAGCATGTTTGGATTTTTATTTTAAGTGAAAACTTAGGTGTCTTTGGTGGTCACTGGCTTATTTGTAATGCTAGCAGAATTTAACTAAAAGACAGCATATTCGGTTGAGTATGGGAGGTTTCTGTTATATGCTACAGTGACATGCTTTTGTCATTCAGTAATATTCATTAAACAAAAACTAATTTTAAGAGCCTATTGTGTATCAAATCCAGTGCTAAGCATTGAGATTTGAGATACCAGCAGGAAAGATTATGTTTCTGCCATCCTGGGAACTTCAAGTCCTGTGGAAAATCACAAACAAGTATTAAACAATTTAAACAAGTTAGTCTGTTTTGTTTAATGATGTACCCCCATACTTTCAATACTGACTGACATATAATTGGTGCTCAGGAGATGTTTGTTAAAAGAAGACTANAAACAAGTATTAAACAATTTAAACAAGTTAGTCTGTTTTGTTTAATGATGTACCCCCATACTTTCAATACTGACTGACATATAATTGGTGCTCAGATGTTTATTAAAAGAAGACTATATAAATTCCATATATATGTGTTAGTATACTGTATTGGTCTTTATCTTTCTGGCTTACTTCAACTAATAAAAATAAATGAAAAAAAAAAGAAGAAGACTATCTATGAGGTAAATGTTATAATGGGGAAGGAAAGAGTGCCATGGGGTCAGAGAAGTCTTCTCCTACCTCAGCTTTATTGAGGTTGGCAAATACAATTGTAATATATTTAAAGTGTACGTTGTAATAGTTTGATATACACACTCACATACACACATGTATTATTTTGTCCTTTGGATGATAGCCATCCTAATAGGAGTGATATAGTATCCTATTGTACTAGAGCAAGCATCTTTTCATATACCTGTTAGTCATTTGTATATCTTATTTGGGAAAATGTCTATTCAGGTTCTTTTCCCATTTTTGAATTGGGTTTTTATTTTTTGCTGTTGAGTTGTTAAACAGGAGAGTTCCTTTTAAACTTTGGATATTAGCCCTTTATCAGATATATGATTAGCAACTATTTCCTCCCATTCATTAGGTAGCCTTTTGTGTTTTAATTGCTTCCTTTTCTTTGCATAAACTTTTCGGTTGGATGTAATCCCACTAGTTGAATTTTGCCTTTTTTGCCTTTGCGATGGTGAACTGAAAATGTACCCAGTTAAGACCATATAATGATGTTTCTATTGATGGAAAGAAAAAAGTGAAACTGTAGCTTGTAACCGTGGTACAAGCTAGGGCTGCGCATGGTCTCACCTCTGCATAGAATTGCATGTAAATTGTAGCCCAACAGCCAAAATTATTTTTAAAGGAATTTTATACTTTACCTGAATCTCTTAAAGAACATTGAAAAGAATCAAGATTATGTCTTCAAACAGATTTGAAAAGCTTCTTTTCTCTTCTCTTATATTTTTATGTATTTCACAGCTGTGGGCCATTAGGTGACATCCACTGTAAAGATCACACCTCTCTGACTGCTTTTTTGATGTCTGAGACAGGGACAGTATCAGATTGGTCAATTTGCTGATCACAGCTCCTCAGGTGTTCACAGAGACATTTTCTATCCTCACTGTCTGTCACATTCATCTGGAAATCCAGTTGTTATTTATGTCACACACGTGCACTTATACCCACACTCATACAGGCATATATGAATCAATTAATGATCTTAGTGTGATGTGATTTATCTATTTGTATATGTTTGATATTGTATATATTTGAAATATATCACACATAGGTCTTGAAATGATTCAGTAACATTTCTGCCTGGACACACTGAGATTTAAAACAACTTCTGGCTCCATTTAATAGCAACAAAATCCATAGATCTTCATAAGCAGTGAAGTGTAATGAAGGTTGAACATTTTTAAAATCTTTTATATCATTGCATCAATGAAGGAAAATGCGTAAGACTAGAAGCAGTTCATGTCATATGGTTGTAATAAGAGAGACACTCCAGAAAAAACAAAATTAACAACAACAGCAACAAATGGATCATTCAGGAGTCTGTAAAAAAGGTAGAAGTCAAATGGGTCAGGGGATATGCCCATAACCCCTCACCTCCAACTCCTGCTTCTCACTACTACTGATCTCTGCCATAGGTTCTTGCCAACATCCTCAATAAGCAATGTAAACTGAACTATTTCTCTTTCTCTTCTATTTCAGGGGTAAAAGTATACAGCCCTTAGCCCTCCTAAGATATCATGCATGCTGCACGTTATTAGGAAATGAAACTACATATAGTTGCACATAAAGATACAAACAAATGCCATATGCTTAAGAGGGACTTAGACTTTCTTCTTGGTCAAAGTATATTTAAGAAATATGACAAAATTTGAAGACATTCTGCTATGTGATTTTGCCAGACACAAAAAGTCAACTAATGCACTTGGATGAAGCGCCTGTAATAGTCAAATTCATACAGATAGAAAGTAGAATAGTGTTTGCCATGGGCTTGAGAGGGGGTAACTGGAGAGTTTTTATTTAGTATGTATAGACTTTCAGTTGATGAAGAAGTTCTGGAATTGGTTTGTGTTAATTATTACACAGTAATATGATTTATTTAATATTACTGAGCTGTACACTTAAAAATGGTGCACACGGTAAATTTTAT